TATATATATATATATATATATATATATATATATATATATATATATATATATATCTATGTATGTATCCTTTAGACATTTTACTTTCACATGACCCAAAAAGTGACACTATAAGTGAAATTCCTTTCAAGTTGTGATATGGGACTAATGAGCATTGAGTAGTCTATATGAATATAACACCGAAGATAATGAATGTATGGAGAATAAAGATTACAGGGTTAGAGCAATTAATGTTTATAAGTGATGAAAGTTTCTCTTTACCAAGCACCAAGCAACTACGCATCTTCAGTCCTATCAATCGTAAACATTCTTTCTCTTCTTCAGTCATCATTTCCTGGTCAACATCCTGCTCAGCAGGTGTCCTTTGAGAATTCAAATTTGATAACTCATTTGTTGATTTCTCTATTTTTTTGTTTAGCTGAAAAAACAATAAAAAACTATTATGAATGACAAAACAATTATGAAAAAGAAAATCGGTAATGAATGTTTTATGAGTTAGAATCTTACAATGAAAAACTTCCGCTCTTGATTCCTCAGTTCCCTCTCTAGTCGTTCCTTTTCAGCTTCCAGCTTAATTTCGACATTCTTATTTTCTTTTATAATTTCTCCATACTCTGTTTGGATATCTTGGAATTCTGATAATGTTCCAACTGTATTCACTAACGGTTCACCAGATTCACAAAAAGTTTCAATTGCTTTTTGGCGTGCATGTTCTTCATAGAGTTGCCATCTTGTGAGCTCCACTTCCCTTTTTGCTACTAAATCTGCAACCCCACAAGGAAGGAAGTCCTTGCCTCTATAAAGTAATATAATAAACTTATTACGTAGTATCAGAACTCCTCCTGTGAGACACTGCATTAATAAAAATTACCTTTAAAATACATTTACATTTCACAAGCAATATGCAGCAGTTGCAATGTAGAAATGGAACATAGACATGCATGTCGACCAGCGAAAGAGTTAATTTGATACAACTTGGTGGAAAAGAGACAACATGATACCCAATGACATAGGTGCAAGTAACATGAAGGACATGCCCTCAAAGTGCAAAAGAGAAAACAGCTTCAGGTAGGGATGAATGAAAAAAAAAAAAAGATTTAAGCCAATACGTACTTAGTTGAGATTAAGGCTTCATTTTCTTGTTGAGATTACAGCTTAATTGAATTTATCTATTATGGCTCAAGCTTGGTGAAGCTATTGTGATTTTTTGTTGAAAAGAAGAATTGGCAATTGTGAATTCTGATCAGGCGGATAATCATTCAGGAAATTAATAGGTGGGCAATTTTTCCCACAAAAGGAGAGTCATTAATATACACCTTTAATTACCCAATACTGATACGCATAAGAAAGGTTTTCAAAAAATAATGGATGTCATGTATGTGCATATATTCTCTTAAACTTGCCTTCAGCTCATATGCCATTTGCTCGTTGTTTGTGTTCGGAACTCCAAACTTCACAGCAATCTTCGCTATAAGACTTTTCTCCCACAATTTTAAGATGGCAGCAGCGAGGCCTTGAAGTTTTCTGTTCCTTCCTTCAGAAAGTAAAAAAATTAAAATTTTAAAAAAGGCAAACAAAAGTAGAGAAGTTGAGTACATAGATGCATGCACCACTATGCATTGCCAAGTATGGTCCATTTTATGGGGAAAAATTGACATATAACAGCAGGAAAGGTAATACCTAAGACAAAATGAGTAGGTAATGTGCGAGCAAACTTCCTCAAGAATGTTAGTTCATCATCTGTTAGCTTTGATCTAGTGTGTGGTGGACAACGCCTAATTGGAGCTTTAAACCCAGGAACTACTTCCGGAAGCAAGTCCGCATCTACTGGCAAAGGTTTGTGCATCCACCAGTCAATGAATCGAGGTCCCAAGCCATCCAATAATCTATCTGATTCCTTCTCATATAATGACCTACTAGTTGGTTGGCAACTCATACTCGTTTCTTGAAAGGTTCCAGTTTGAATACAATCCTCTTCTGCATCCTTTCCGTTCATCTTTTCATCCACAGGACTTTCAAATGATTTACATTGATAACTACTACTTTCTTCCAAATCCGGCTGCATGTGATCTGAGGACGATGTTTCTTGACAGTCAGCAGAGCATGGGCGCATCTTTGGAAAAAATTTTGAACTCGACTGATAATTGCATCCTCTATAAATTACAAGTGTATCTTTCTTTCTCCAAACAACCATGCCTCCAGTCTTGGTCTGTATATGAAATACATGCACACACACACATATATATCATCATCACTGGAAACTGAAATAAGAACACAAATATATATACAAGAATTGAACCAGCATACGAATGTTGATCAGTTAATACAACTCTCATAATAACTATCTCTAATTTTGTAAGAAGAATCCCAACAGGCAAAAGTCCCATGCTACACGAGCTGTTATTGAAATGAATCTCTAAGTTCAATGTTCTTCAAGCAGACAACTAAAGTAACTGAACATAAAGCATATATTTAAAAAAATGAAATGCTGCAGAACAACAATTAGATGATAAATTTTAAAAAATGAAATGCCAAGACAAAAAGTACTTTTGGCATCAAGTAGCATGAAACTAAAGCCTTCCCATATCAGCAGATAAATTTTGGCTAATGTAGAATGACTTCAGTTACATTATACAAGTTAGTGTTATTCAAATCTTTGAACAGTAAAGCTATGTCATTCTAGAATATAATTCTTCCTATCAATTATACATTAAATATGAAGCCACTACAATCAGTTTTGTTAAACTCAAGAAAATGATTAGAAATTGTCAGAATATAACATTCTTTGCATGAAAAAATAAAGTAAAGCAAATGAACAAACCCAACCTCAACTATTTCTTGAGCTCTATGCATATTCCGGCAGAGAGGCACATCAAATTTGACCATGGCAAGTTCATTTGTTTTCCAAATGAACTTTATATCATCCACAACGGCTTGAGTAACCCCAGCTTTCTTGACCTTCACCCATTTCCTCATCTTTGCAGCCTCACCTCTCAACCTCTCAAGCAACTCTTTCTCGAGGCTCAGTTCGGCTGCACTTGCCACCCTTTTCTTCTTTATTTTCTGAAAGACGATCCTTTCATCCCTCTCCCACGGCATTTTCCCGCCAAATCTCGAATCCGCAGCTTTTCCAAGTCCCTCCAAGCAACCATCAATTCCAAACTCCACAAAATCGTTGTGGGTTTCATCCGATTTTTCATTTTGTCCAAGTCCCTCCAAAGAATCCCAAATTCTAAATTCCCCAAAACCTTTCTGGGCTTCATCTGTTTTCTGGTTTGGTCCAAGCCTTTCAATGCTTTGGACAATTTGCTTGATTGCTTTATCGCCTCTAATGCCAACTAACTTCCCAGCCAGCACAGTATCGGGCTTTTCGGCTTTGGCATTGTTGTGGGTCTTCTTGTTTCTGGGTTTTGAGAAATCAATGACTTCATGTGGTTGAAGAAGAAGAGGACCCTTCATCCATGGAGCTGTGGGCGCCTTAATACAAGCATCAGAGCTTGAATTAGGCTCTGATTGAGCCTTCGAATTCGGGTTTGTTGTGGTGGAGCTGAGTGAGAGAGAATTGGGAGATTTTGAGGGAATTAGGTTAGTTGGTTTGGGGTTTTGTGGGGGTTTTGAGTTTAAGGCAGATGAGATGGGATTGTATGAATGGAATGGTGGGTTAGAGTGAGAGGGAAGATGATGGGTAGTGTTTAGTAGAGTGGAAAGAGGAGTGAGAAAGAGAGTGGCAGGCATAATTTGCTTCTGAGGGACTGTGGAGGACAGGGAAGAGTGAAGTGAGGATGAAGTCTCTCTCAGTTTCTTATCTTGGTTTTTCTCCAAGAACTGGTGATGGTTTGATCATGGGATAACAGAAAGAGAAGAGTTGGATATTTTGAGACGGTTTGCATTTTGGGTTTGGCAGCTTCTATTTGCACCGGAGATGCGGACCTCATAAGCACCCAAAAAATAACTCCAAAATTAGGAAAATTAGAGGTGGTAATTCGTGTTAACTTTAGTTGACCCGTTTAATTGATTAATGCTATCAAATTACTCTCGGTCCTGCTCGCTTATGGACTGAGGACATGTTAGGATCTGGCTCTTCCATTAATCTAAGGGCACATATAGTTGGTAGTTTAAATCTTTACTTATGCTTCTTGTCTGTTTTTATACAAATGATATTGGGTGAAGGGAGAATCCAACCTATCAAACACATCGGTCCTGCTCGCTTATGGACTGAGGACATGTTAGGATCTAGCTCTTCGATTAATTTAAGGGCACATATATTTAGTAGTTTAAACCCTCACTTATGCTTCTTGTCTCTTTTTTTATTTATTTATTTTTATTTTATATACAAACGATATTGGAGAATGGGAGAATCCAATTTATGACCGAAAGTGCGCGGGGATAAATTCTCTTAACCGATTGGGCTATAAATACCTTACCAAAATTGAGTTTCTATTTTCTAAATATCAAGTTACTCAAGTTTGAACCCGACCTGTTTATTATTCATGTTGGTGAATGATGTCATATTTTATAGGATTCAAGTTGTGGTGTCATGTCATGTCAAACAATTGTCGCTCCTACCCTACTTTCCTCGATTCAAATTAAACTTTGGTGACCTTTATATGACCTCTACTATTTGAAAGTTTAATACATAAGTTACCACCATGGCTCACCCAATCTTTCAAGAACACCTTCCTTGAAACCCAAAACAAGTTAACCTCATTGTTCTATGCAACATCTACATAGTATAGAGACTGTTTCAAAGGTTCTACGCAATGTTGTACAATCAACTTAAGCAAAGATGCAATCCTATTGTTCAAAGGTTCCTTTGACTCATTTCCACAATTCCATTATCTTTAATTTAAAACTTAACAGAAAAACTTCCACAGCACATCTCTAATTCCAGTCAGAAAACAAAATATCTCCAATTAAGAGAACTCCTAATTCATTCAAAACACGCCCCAAAAGTTCACAACTGCAGTTTTTTTCAGTGACAACATGGGCTATGGGATTTAGGACCAACTGAATAGATATGAAGGAGATAAAGCCCCTCTTAATGATGAAAACATCTTCTTTGCCAGCTTCTATGTACAAGCAAAGACCACATACATGAAAAGAAATCCAACCAGCATAGAAATTCAATGAAAAATCAAAGCTGCATAAAGGTAACTGACGCAGTGAGTTCATCATAAGACCTTTAATTCGTCGTCAATAGGATCACGAAGCGTTCCAAACATCCAATCCATCCATATTGTATAATGGCCATAATTATGGCGGTAAGTTGTATGATGTATGGTGTGGTAGCCAGCACCCATGACAGGCCATATTTTGGAATGGATGCAATCGTGAATGTTTGCTGTCCATATGGCCTCCATAAATAGGAGCGCTATGTGGGTTGTGAAATGCATTGGCACAACAAACAGAGCTATAACATGTGGAACTGCCTGCAGTATCCCATCAAGTGGGTGAAAAGCCAAACCTGAAAATAACACATCCAAAATAGTCAGTAGCACAAAAGTAGGAAACAAATTTCGATGCCTGATAGAAAGGTGGAGGTTCAAAAGAAATCAAGTATTCGAACCTGAAGGAAATAAAGATAAGTTGAACATATTTGATTTTACAAAGTGAAAACCAGCAAATTTTCTTTCCTTCTTTAGCTTTTGGGTGATCAAGAAAAGTGAACCACTACATAGTGCATGATAGACTAATCCATATTACGATAACAGCCATGTTCATCAAAAGCCTTGAGTACATGCAGAATGGACCAAAAGACAAGTAATGGACAAGCTGTCCACTGGAGTACATAAAATCCAAAACCACGTAGATTCTATAAACATAAAAAACAATCTTAAATGATCCCAAGCAGAATGCAGAACAGATAAACAAAGCACCATAAAAAACGAACTCTATCCCATAATCCCCCACTTAGAATAGACTTTGTAAATCGCTTTCATAAATACAAACCATACATGGAATATTATTACCTGAGTACTATCAAATCCAAGTCCATTTCATTGTCAATGCATAGATTGTTTTCTACAACTTGATGTTGGAATGGCCTTAGTAGCAAAAGCATAATATCAGAAGCCTATGCCATACCAAACTCTAATTGGTGAGAATAAGGTTGAACTATTGGTCAATCAGTGACTGGGGGAGAACTTGAGCATATTCAAGTTTTGTTAATCCTAGAGAGAGAGAGAGAGAGAGAGAGAGAGAGAGAGAGAGAGAGAAGTTTGCAGAGGAAATGAAAGATGGTACATCATTAGCTTGTTAAGCTACCAGAAAGAGTGGATGTAAATGCACAATTCACCCAACTCTACAAATATGAAAACTAGATATCATAAACTGTTCAGTTTTGCCTGATAAAGCTGAAAGGCCATAACATTGTGGGAATGGTATTTGTATCAATAAATTTTAAACATGGTAGCTTTAGAAGAAAGAACAATTTAAAGTGTACACACATTTCATGTAGTTCATGCTTCTTCCTGTTCCAGAAAGCAACTGAGAATTGCACAGTTAATTTCCTGAAAGCAACTGAGAGCTGCAGAGCTCTACAGCCAAAATCGCTTTGCGAGAGAACAAACATCTTAAAATATGAAGAAAAAAAAATGAAAAACAGGAACATTAATGGAATTTTATTTGCACTCCAAAAGTGGCCTCTTGCACTTAACAGTTATTAATTAATAACAGTAACTTTAAGAATATTAACGGAATTTACATACAGAATAAACAAGAAGGGATTATAAAGTGTGAAATGTCTAGAATTCATCTATGGATTAAAAGTCTTTTAAAGAGAAATCCGGCACATGCTTAAATTGGGGCAGAAGAGAGAACTCAATTGGCAGGATAGAAAAAATTAAACAAGATGATAATAACATTGTATATGGTTCTCCAGCATGAGATACACACGGAAGGAGAGAGAGAGAGAGAGAGAGAGAGAGAGAGAGAGAAAGAAAAGAAAGAGTTCAGGAAAGAGCATAAGAGAAACATGCAACCTCATGAAGTCCACCAAACATTTTTACATATGTAGTAACACAAATAATAAAATCAGGTAATAAATCAGAAATTACTAAAATATATGTGCACATGCTTGCATCCAATTTAGATAGATGAGATAAATATAATTTTTTTCAGTTACAGATGAGATAATATTAAAATTGGCATAAAGCATGAAAGTTGGGTAGTTTGACAGCTTACCAGCAAATGGAGAGAGGGTATTCTGCTTGTTGTAGATGTGGTGGGTAGCATGAAGATATTTATACAGAGGTTTTATGTCATGTAACTCTCTATGCATCCAATAAATTCCGAACTCCACAAATATAAGATAAATTGCTATATACATCAGGTATGCAAGCCAACTGACATCACTTATTCTTGAGAAGCACCTTGCCCAGCCATTTTCAACCATGTACTCAGAAATGGTTGGAAGAGCACTGTACCAAGGCATGGCCTTCATGGCAACATATATTTGCAAAAGCATGGCTTTATTAGAGGGAATGGCATCTGCAATGAGGGAGTGAAATGTCAATCTGTACTAAGTGGGAAGACATTTTTTTCCCTGGTTTTTCAACATTGAAGAAAGCAGAATTCCAAGTTTCAAGTGTCATGAAGAGTCCCCAACTTTCAGTCATACAAATAAGCATTCATACTCACTCTTCAAGAGTCCTTAAAAGTATGGATTTTGATGTTCTAAAGTTATTCCTGCCCGTAAATTTGACTAACAAAAAACAGTTTCAGGGTACTAGCTACTTTAAAGCATGTAGTGTAGGATCAGTTTGTACTTGGGATTACACAAAAACCAACAAAATGGTTGTAAATACAGAAGAAATCCTATAGTCAATAAACAAAATAGCAGAGGATCAATAACCTTGTAGTGTATCAGGTGAATGTATGTCGATATTATTTTCTTTTTCCTTCTTTTCTCGTCTCAGAACAGTTTTCAATCCAAACAAAAATTTTGAGAAAAAAAAAAAATTACAACTCCTGACGCGCATATAACCATGTGGGCAAACCAAGAATTCTGCAGAATGGTAGACTGAAACATGACAAGGTTCATTCAGATAAATATTGTCCACACTGAGCATTTACAAGGGATAATAAACACATGTTCAACAGTGAAGGAACACAAAAAATAAAATAATATATTCATCTCATGCTTTATATTAAGTAGCAAAACTCCGTTTTTTTTTTAAATTACACAAGCCATAAATGAAACAGAGCTTGAAAATTAAAAAGAAAAAGGTCAAGAAAGAAAACAAACAAAACCCATTTCATATCAAACTTTTAAGCACGTCAAAAAAACGCAGTAACTCAAATTGTTCTCATCAATCAAGATCAACTAAAAAGCTAATATACAGATCCGTCGTTGTACATTAGAAACAAGTTGAACTAAATATTGCACCTAATTTCACTGTGAATCAAATTATTCCACCTAATTCGTAGAAAACCCAAGCAGATTCAAAAGTTCTGAAGCAAGCAAAACCAATCTGCAAATTCACTAAATATAAACGAAACATAACCCAACTCTCACAAAATATAAACTTCCAAAATCAGAAATGAAAATGAAAAACTGAAAATAAAATAGAGCATAACAAGAAGAACAAAATAAAGTTTTAACAAATGACATAGACCACTCCCATCAGTCCAGACTAGCTAATTCACCAAAATAAATAAATAAATAAATAATGGAAGATAAAACAATGTGTTGGTCTGCAACTCTGTTTTCTGGTGTTCATAAAATTTCCCTTAAACCCAAGAGAGAGAGAGAGAGAGAGAGAGAGAGAGAGAGAGAGAGAGAGACAATAACCAAACACAACCCATCAAAATCCAGACTCATAAATCCCATCCCAACAACCAAATCACCACAAAACAATCTTTTTATTATGTTTATAAAATAAAAAAGTCAATGCCACTGAAGAATGAAGAGAGAAAAAAATCAGAAAACA